TTTGACTCTAATTTACATCATGAAGAACACCTTTTGACGATTTTATCTTATTCAAAGAAATGAAAATGTAATTGATAAATGATTAGCATCATTATGATAATAATGATCGTGATGATCATGATCATGATCATGAGCGCGATCATGACATCTTATTGAAAAAATGAGGGTTGATTTAGATAGCATATAATCTCAGCTACAACATACTCAAAAATCAACAAAATCCAAGCCGAAATAACGGCGATATTGCTCGCAAAAGACAGGAATGTAGACTCCAGATTTGAGAAAAAGTCATTTCCCATAGGGATTACACGCAAAAAGTAATGGATTAAGTGAAAATAGGGTAATAATAAAGTAAAAAGGGTTATTTATGACATTATTTGCGAATCTACGTGTTTAAATAATCAAAGGAGATGGTACAGTGAAGGTCAAAAGGAAAAAAAAGTTAAAAAAAAAGTGTTGGAGACACCCGGACTCGAACCAGGGATCTCGAGGTTGGAAGTCAAGTGCGTTACCGATATACCAAAACATCTCCCATAGCGATTACACGTAAACAGGAAATGGAATTCAGAAATCCTACTTTGCAAATGAAATATGAGCATGATCCCGGCATCTGATCGAGAAATAAAGGGCACACTTGTGATAGCTCATTGTCTCAGCTACAACATATCCGAAGCTCAGCGAAAACGAAGCTAAAACAACGGAGATTTTGCTCGCAAAAGACAGGAGTGTAGAATCCAGTTTTGAGAAAAAGTCATGTCCCATAGAGAATACACGCAAAATGCGAAAAATTGACATGCCTCCTTTAATCGCAAAAATACACCATGATACTTTTGTCAAAAATAAAAATTGTGAACATTACATTTGTAGAAAATTGTCTCAGCTAGAACATATCAAAATTAAAAAGAAAATTGATCCATATTTACAGAGATACAATCAATTTTCCAAAAATATGCTGACGTCATAATATGCAAATTAAAATTTTGAGTTTGGAGGCCATTATGATGACGTCATGAGTTAATTGAGGATCAAATGAGACATGAAATCATATCTCCGACTCATAATCTATCCAAATATGACAAAATATTAGGAGTTTCTATCTATTCTAAAGAGTTACAATGAATTTTATATAGGCATGTTTTTGCCCATGTATTGTGGATAAAGATAACGCAAATCCGCGCGTGCTGTCAACTTTGACGGACGCTCATTGCGTTAAAAAAAGGTGAACAAATTATCAAAATGCTTGGAAAAATGTACCGAATATGATGACAGAAAAGAATCGGCGATTCTATGTTGCAAAATGCCAGTACGCGCGAAAACGCGCGCGCATGCGCGTGTGCGTAATTTTTTTATCAAATGCTCCATATGGCCTGAAACGTATGCAAAAAAAATTTGGGATGATTTAGAGCATTTTTAATTTTTGCGCGCGCGTAAACGCGCGGACGAGCGCGCACGCGCGCATTTACGCACGTTTATTGACCTCAACTTGACCGGACGGATATTGATCTTAATCATGATAAATATGAATGAAAAATTATTATTCGTTATAAAGATATGATCATTAGTTGATTTTCACAAAATGGCGCCTGGATGACGTCACGATGACTTTGAGTCTTTGAAAAGTCACGCAGTTCTAAGTTAGACTAAGATCTATCATCATTGAAAGATTCATAACAATGGCTTCGTTCAGTCTTGAGATATCCTGCGAACAAATTCGAGGAAGAATAATAATAAATAAATAATAATAAAAATCTTGACGAAATCAAAAGGTGATACGTCTACGTACGTATCACCTAATAATAAAAATCTTGACGAAATCAAAAGGTGATACGTCTACGTACGTATCACCTAATAATAAAAATCTTGACGAAATCAAAAGGTGATACGTTGACTTCGTTACGTATCACCTAACTAGACTTTAATTCGTCACTTAGACGAATTAGGTGATACGTATGATAATGGTTTACATAACGAATAATGCATTACACGATATATTATTTTGCTTCTCCCATTCATATGCTTCTCCCATTATGATCTATTCATATGTCAAGATTAAATTGTGTCTCCTTGATCATCATGAATCTAGGGAAGATAGATTGAAACAATATATGACCTTTGACCCTGTGCAGTAACCAGTTACACATTTGACTCTAATTTACATCATGAAGAACACCTTTTGACGATTTTATCTTATTCAAAGAAATGAAAATGTAATTGATAAATGATTAGCATCATTATGATAATGATGATCGTGATGATCATGATCATGATCATGAGCGCGATCATGATCATGAGCGCGATCATGACATCTTATTGAAAAAATGAGGGTTGATTTAGATAGCATATAATCTCAGCTACAACATACTAAAAAATCAACAAAATCCAAGCCGAAATAACGGCGATATTGCTCGCAAAAGACAGGAATGTAGACTCCAGATTTGAGAAAAAGTCATTTCCCATAGGGATTACACGCAAAAAGTAATGGATTAAGTGAAAATAGGGTAATAATAAAGTAAAAAGGGTTATTTATGACATTATTTGCGAATCTACGTGTTTAAATAATCAAAGGAGATGGTACAGTGAAGGTCATAAGGAAAAAAAAGTGAAAAAAAGTGTTGGAGACACCCGGACTCGAACCAGGGATCTCGAGGTTGGAAGTCAAGTGCGTTACCGATATACCAAAACATCTCCCATAGCGATTACACGTAAACAGGAATTGGAATTCAGAAATCCTACTTTGCAAGTGAAATATGAGCATGATCCTGGCATCTAATCGAAAAATAAAGGGCACACTTGTGATAGCTCATTGTCTCAGCTACAACATATCCGAAGCTCAGCGAAAACGAAGCTAAAACAACGGAGATTTTGCTCGCGAAAGACAGGAGTGTAGAATCAAGTTTTGAGAAAAAGTCATGTCCCATAGAGAATACACGCAAAATGCGAAAAATTGACATGCCTCCTTTAATCGCAAAAATACACCATGATACTTTTGTCAAAAATAAAAATTGTGAACATTACATTTGTAGAAAATTGTCTCAGCTAGAACATATCAAAATTAAAAAGAAAATTGATCAATATTTACAGAGATACAATCAATTTTCCAAAAATATGCTGACGTCATAATATGCAAATTAAAATTTTGAGTTTGGAGGCCATTATGATGACGTCATGAGTTAATTGAGGATGAAATGAGACATGAAATCATATCTCCGACTCATAATCTATCCAAATATGACAAAATATTAGGAGTTTCTATCTTTTCTAAAGAGTTACAATGAATTTTATATAGGCATGTTTTTGCTCATGTATTGTGGATAAAGATAACGCAAATCCGCGCGTGCAGTCAACTTTGACGAAGGCTCATTGCGTTAATAAAAGGTGAACAAATTATCAAAATGCTTGGAAAAATGTACCGAATATGATGACAGAAAAAAATCGGCGATTCTATGTTGCAAAATGCCAGTACGCGCGAAAACGCGCGCGCATGCGCGTGTGCGTAATTTTTTTATCAAATGCTCCATATGGCCTGAAACGTATGCAAAAAAAATTTGGGATGATTTAGAGCATTTTTAATTTTTGCGCGCACGTAAACGCGCGGATGAGCGCGCACGCGCGCATTTACGCACGTTTATTGACCTCAACTTGACCGGACGGATATTGATCTTAATCGTGATAAATATGAATGAAAAATTATTATTCGTTATAAAGATATGATCATTAGTTGATTTTCACAAAATGGCGCCTGGATGACGTCACGATGACTTTGAGTCTTTGAAAAGTCACGCAGTTCTAAGTTAGACTAAGATCTATCATCATTGAAAGATTCATAACAATGGCTTCGTTCAGTCTTGAGATATCCTGCGAACAAATTCGAGGAAGAATAATAATAAATAAATAAATAATAATAAAAATCTTGACGAAATCAAAAGGTGATACGTCTACGTACGTATCACCTAATAATAATAATAATAAAGAAAAATCTTGACGAAATCAAAAGGTGATACGTTGACTTCGTTACGTATCACCTAATTATTTTTGTCAGACTTACATATTATAATTTCGCATCATGTTTTTCCCAAGAAATCATACTACATACCTTTTTAATTTGTATAAAAGGCGACATTTAATTGTAGTGGAACTTTCACATATGGCTCCGTTTAGTCTCATTTCACAACGCCCCCTATCAGAGCCAGCAGCCTAACATGTTAGCCTATGGACGTTTTTTTTTTAAATCGTTAAAAATTCATTTTTTGTTTAAACGAAAAGCAGATCCACCACGACGTACGTTATCACTACCTCTTTCATTGGAGCCCTCATGTCTCATTGAATTTTGAAAGTTCACCCACCGTAATTTTTCAAAATAGGTTGCAAGCTCGTCATTGCCTATAATACACATGTGAAACAAGTCTAACTTTGGACTCAGTTTACCAAGCGATTTGAAGATTATAGGTCGAGCACACGAAACATAAAAAGCATGAAGTATCATAGATCACTTCTGCCTATTTCATTATGTCCATTTCATCCAACCCCCCACCGTAATTTTTCCATTTAGTAAAAGCAAACATTTTGCCGAGTTTAGCAAAAACATGAATATTAATGAACGGTCTGTCCGACCGTTCATTAATATTCATGTTTTTGCTAAACTTTTTTTGCTAAACTCGTTTTTGCTAAAACGTATAGTGAATGGGAATGGGCGATGATCCGTTCAGGAGGTAGAGGTCAGTGGTTTGTGCTGGCAATGTTCACGCGAGCGAAAATGAGACAATCGGAGCAATATGATTTGTTTCTCATTCACTTTCAAATATAAATGGTACATGCAGCCGCTGATAAACCTAATGAAGCCATTTAAAGAAAAAAATTGGATATATTATTTTGCTTTGATGATAAAACTTATGATTTTTGTTGTTGATTGAATCAACAATACAGTTGAATCATATTTTGTGATACAGTCATGGAGAAAATTAGTAGTACCATTGAAGTATGACAAATGTTGAGTAAAAAGTTCACCTTGCTGCAGCATAATGGAGGGCTGTCCATCCTTCTGCATCTTCTGTCTCAATATCTGCACTGTTTTCGAGCAGCAGACGTACACAGTCCAGATGTCCTCCCCTTGCGGCGACCATAAGTGGCGTGACTCCTGTTAAGGTCTGTAACATAAATAATATCGGTACACTGCCTACACTACCATAAGATACATTTAGTTCTAATTTCATCGATGAATACAGTTTTCCCTACACAAAAGACAATCAGGGAGAACATAGAATGCTAACTCACTTTTATGATCATTGTGTTGATATATATATTATATATTATATCTTTGACTTGTTTGAGGCTCTGTGCTGGATAAGGTGATGCCTCACTTGTTAGATCATATTAGCCAGATCGAATCCCAAATGCTGTGCTAAATACGCACAAATTAGAATACTGTATAATGTCCTCTCCGGTATAGGATTCGGTGTTTCCTTATTTTTCGTTTTGCTTTCGTCCAGAGGGACTGGACCATTTTAAAGAAATAAATTGGTAGGTTAAAAAACAACGTGGAGTCTATCCTTTTTTTGGACATTTTTTTGTGGACATATTTCTTATGCGATGCATGTTGATGCACGGCTTGCAAGCCGTACATGTTTTTTATATTGACCAACTGGCCGAAATTAGCCATTTTTGTGTCTGGTGTGTTCAAATTTTTGTATCAGTGGGAAAGTTAAAAACGCGTCCCTTTCTGTATTATTTTCCCGATCTCAGGCTTTCAGATACTAAAGTAAAGATTTAAACTATAACAATGAAAGATTGAAGTCTAAAAGTTGTGACAAGTTGATAAATTGTTGATTTAAACTTCTACCACCCAATTTTAGAAACTTATTCAGTGTTGTTATGGACTCCATATTTTCAGATAAATTGTAAATCTATAAAACTAACACCATATTGTCCTACGTAATTTTGTTATTATTCTTATTTCCACTCTTTCAAAACCTTTAAACATCACATAAATGACTCGACCGCAGGCTTGTCTACTGCTAGATTTATGTCTCAATAACATGCCTTTAGTTTATGAAGACAGTAATTCATGGACCCAGGAGTAACTTTTTTCTGTGGAAGAGATATAATCAAGTAATATTCAATTTTTTCCAGGCCTTCGGTTACAGTAATGTCTTAAGGAATATATAATTTTTCGCAACTTTTAAACTCTATTATTTAATTAGAATGCTGTAAATCCTTTCTCGAGAATTTGAAAGCCTTAAAAATCGGGTAACTCATCTCGAGGGACCCATTTTTTTCAATATTCCCCTCTGAGACAGCAAAAGAGAAGACACCATACAACAAATTGTTGCTTAAAGTTCGGCCAGCGCGCCTAGCGGCGTGACCCGACTTTTAGGTAAGAGCAGTATGAAAAGAGCACAATACCTGTAGTCCCACTTCAAGAGCGTAGTGACTATTTCCCGATTTACCGCTAGTGTAGTTTCTCAAGAAATATTCCAAAGATTCCAAATGACCATCATCTACCGCAAAATGAAAAACTGTCCAACCAAGAGAATTACGTGCCTCGATATCTGCTCCTTTCGTAATTAGATATTTTATAATGTCAAGGTAGCCCCCAAGAGAGGCAAAATGAAGTGGTAGATCACCATCAATTGCTGGTTTGTTGACATCAGCTCCTGCATTAACTAAACATTCAACAACATGAAGATGGCCGTTTATTGAGGCAATGTGCAGGGGTGTATTACCACCGTTATTAACCGAATTCGGGTTCGCTCCTTGAGAAATTAAATATTTCACAATGTCTACATGACCGTCAATTGACGCCCCATGAATAGGTGTCCAGCGTTCCTCCGTTGCTTCATTCATATCAGCTCCTGCATTCATTAGAAATTCAACAACATGAAGATGACCTTCTTGTGAGGCAAAGTACAGTGGTGTACAACCATCTTTTTCAACCGAATTCGGGTTTGCTCCTTGAGAGACGAGATATTTTACGATGTTTACATGACCGACCATTGACGCCCCGTGAATAGGTGTACAGCCTTCCTCTGTTGCTCTCTTGACATCAGCTCCTGCATTAACTAAACATTCAACAACATGAAGATGGCCGTTTATTGAGGCAATGTGCAGGGGTGTATCATCATCGTTATCAACCGAATTTGGGTTCGCTCCTTGAGAAATTAAATATTTCACAATGTCTACATGACCGTCAACTGACGCCCCATGAATAGGTGTCCAGCCTTTCTCTGTTGCTTCATTCATATCAGCTCCTGCATTCATTAGAAATTCAACAACATGAAGATGACCTTCTTGTGAGGCATAGTACAATGGTGTACAACCATCTTTATCAACCGAATTCGGGTTTGCTCCTTGAGAGACGAGATATTTTACGATGTCTATATGACATTCAATTGACGCCCCATGAATAGGTGTACATCCTTTCTCCGTTGCTTTCTTGATATCAGCTCCTGCATTAACTAAACATTCAACAACGTGAAGATGCCCGTTAACTGAGGCAAAGTACAGGGATGTATTACCATCATTATCAACCAAATTCGGGTTCGCCCCTTGAGAAATAAGATATTTTACAATGTCTACATGACCGTCAATTGACGCCCCATGAATAGGTGTCCAACCTTTCTCCGTTGCTTTCTTGACATCGGCTCCTGCATTAACTAAACATTCCACACTATGAAGATGGCCATTTTTCGAGGCAATGTACAGGGATGTATAACCATCGTTATCAACCGAATTCGGGTTCGCTCCTTGAGAAATGAGATATTTTACAATGTCTGCATGACCGTTATATGACGCCGTACGAAGAGGTGTCCAGCCTTGCTCCGTTGCTTTCTTGACATCAGCTCCTGCATTCACTAGACATTCGACAACATCAAGATGACCCTCTTGTGAGGGAAAGTACAGGGGTGTATAACCGTCGTTATCAACTGAATTCGGGTTCGCCCCTTGAGAAATGAGATATTTTACAATATCTGTATGACCGTTATATGACGCCGCACGAAGAGGTGTCCGGCCTTGCTCCGTTGCTTTCTTGACATCAGCTCCTGCATTCACTAGACATTCAACAACATGAAGATGGTCGTTTTTTGAGGCAATGTACAGGGGTGTATAACCATCGTAATCGACAGAATTTGGGTTCGCTCCTTGAGAAATGAGAAATTTTACTATGTCTACATGACCGTTGTATGACGCCGTACGAAGAGGTGTCCAGCCATGCTCCGTTGCTTTCTTAACATCAGCGCCTGCCTTAACAAGACATTCAACAACAGGAAGATGCTTGTTTATTGAGGCAATGTAGAGGGGTGTATCACCAACGTTATCAACCGAATTCGGGTTTGCTCCTTGAGAAATGAGATATTTTACGATGTCTACATGACCGTTACATGACGCCATGCAAAGAGGTATCATGCTATGATCCGTTGCTTTATTGACATCAGCTCCTGTATTAACTAGACATTCAACAACATCAAGATGACCGTTTTTTAAGGCCAAGTACAGAAGTGTAAAACCATTGTTATCAACTGAATTCGGGTTTGCTCCTTGAGAAATGAGATATTTTACAATGTCTACATAACCGTTGTATGACGCAGTACGAAGAGGTGTCCAGCCTTGCTCCGTTGCTTTTTTGACATCAGCTCCTGCATTCACTAGACATTCAACAACATGAAAATGGCCATTTTTCGAGGCAATGTAAAGGGGTGTATTACCATCGTTATCAACCGAATTCGGGTTTGCTCCTTGAGAAATGAGATATTTTACGATGTCTACATGACCGTTACATGACGCCATGCAAAGAGGTATCATGCTATGATCCGTTGCTTTATTGACATCAGCTCCTGTATTAACTAGACATTCAACAACATCAAGATGACCGTTTTTTAAGGCCAAGTACAGAAGTGTATAACCATTGTTATCAACTGAATTCGGGTTTGCTCCTTGAGAAATGAGATATTTTACAATGTCTACATAACCGTTGTATGACGCAGTACGAAGAGGTGTCCAGCCTTGCTCCGTTGCTTTTTTGACATCAGCTCCTGCATTCACTAGACATTCAACAACATGAAAATGGCCATTTTTCGAGGCAATGTAAAGGGGTGTATTACCATCGTTATCAACCGAATTCAGGTTCGTTCCTTGAGAAATGAGATATTTTACAATGTCTACATGACCGTCAATTGACGCCCCATGAATAGGTGTCCAGCCTTTCTCCGTCGCTTTCCTGACATCAGCTCCTGCATTCACTAGACATTCAACTACATTAAGATGACCCTCTTGCGAGGCAAAGTACAGGGATGTATAACCATCGTTTTCAACTGAAATCTGGTTCTTTTCTTGAGAAATGATATATTTTACAATGTCTACATCACCATTATATGACGCCGCATGAAGAGGTGTCCAGCCTTGCTCCGTTGCTTTCTTGACATCAGCTCCTGCATTCACTAGACATTCAACAACATGAAAATGGCCATTTTTCGAGGCAATGTACAGGGGTGTATAACCATCGTTATCAACCGAATTCGGGTTCGCCCCTTGAGAAATGAGATATTTTACTATGTCTACATGACCGTTATATGCTGCCGTACGAAGAGGTGTCCAGCCTTGCTCCGTTGCTTTCTTAACATCAGCGCCTGCCTTAACAAGACATTCAACAACAGGAAGATTCTCGTTTATTGAGGCAATATAGAGGGGTGTATAACCATCGTTATCAACCGAATTCGGGTTCGCTCCTTGAAAAATAAGATGTTTTACAATGTCTACATGGCCGTTATATGACGCCGTACGAAGAGGTGTCCAGCCTTTCTCCGTCGCTTTATTGACATCAGCTCCTGCACTAACTAGACATTCAACAACATCAAGATGATCCTCTTGTGAGGCAATGTACAGGGGTGAATTACCATTGTTATCAACCGAATTCGGGTTCGCTCCTTGAGAAATGAGATATTTTACAATATCTACATGACCTGTTCTTGACGCAATATGAAGAGGTGTCCAGTATTTCTTCGTTGCTTTCTCAACATCTGCTCCTGTATTCATCAGACATTCAACAACCTGGAGATGACTATTCTCTAAGGCGATATGTAGGGGTGTGTAACCATAGTTGTCACCTATGTCTTTATCTGCTCTTTGATCGATAAGATACTTAACAACTGCCAGATGCCCAGAAAATGATGCGCCATGAAGGGGAGAAGAACCATTCTTTGCTGCTTTGTTCACACCAGCCCCTGCATTTACTAGACATTCAACAACATTAAGATGTCCGTTCTGTGACGCATGGCGTAGTGGTGTGAAACCTTCTCTATCTCCCAAATCGAAGCTTACCCCTTTAGTTATGATATACCTTACAGCGTCGAGGTAGCCCTCTGATGATGCTTTGGAAAGAACAAGTGGACCGACGTCATCTATGTTGCCAGAGTCTGCATTCCTAGACATGAGAAACTCCACAATGCCACGATGCCCCTTTATTAATGCGGTTGACAGCGGAGTGTAACCAGAATTAGATACTATATTGATATCTGCTCCTGCTTCCACGAGATATTCAACAACATGAAGGTGGCCATTTTCTGATGCCGCGTGAAGCGGTGTGTATTTGTTGTTGTCGTCCATGTTGATATCTGCATCTTTAGTTAAGAGGTATGTTACGACATCAAGATGACCACAGGAAGCCGCATTACTAAGACAATTTTTACCTTCGCATCCCTTTAAAGTTATATCTGCTCTGTTAGTGATGAGATATTTCACAACGCTCAGATGACCATTTTTGGATGCAGCATGAAGGGGTGAGTTTTTACCATCACATGATACTTTGTTCATCTCTGCTCCTGAATCTACTAGACATTCGACAACATCAAGATGTCCTTCCAACGAGGCGATATAGAGAGGTGTATAACCATTGCTATCGCCGATATTGATATCTGCTCCTTGACCAATGAGATATTGAACAACATCATGGTGACCACTCCGAGACGCATAGTGAAGAGGGGCGTTGCCGCTCCTACTTCGTTTTTCTAGATCCACCCCCAAATCAGTCATATATTTCACGAGGTCGATGTGCCCTTCTTCTGAAGCGATATGAAGAGACGCCTTTCCATTAGGAACTGGAGTGTGTAGCATGACCAGCTTGGCATCATCTGTCTCGTCTTTTAGAATAGACCTTGTCTTTACAAGATCGCCTTTCTTCACCGCCTTAGGAAGCGCCATGTTCATTCTGTCTTCTCTATCGGTATGTGTATTCTCTCTTGCTATGTGATAAATGACAAAGAAGAGAAAAAATGTACAGAAAATATGACATGAGAATTTTACCACTCTAAAATTGTATAGTATTTAAATTTGAATGAACCAGGACACAACAGGATGTAGAAAGATGAATAAAATATAGTCCTGCAGATTAAAGAGATGATTGGCAGTACAAAATCGAGGAGTAGCAATGAATACAGACCTAACAAAGATTTTCGTTTTGCGCTTTCTTTCTGCAAATTAACGTTATTAATATATTTTGAAATCACTGAAGACATAAAAAATAAAAAAAAATTAGAAATTTAATTCGTCACGAAGACGAATAAGGTGGTCTGTCTAAGTCTTATGATAGATTTGAGAATGGGAGAAATTATATAGACATGTAAACAATGATGATCATGATGAACATGATGATGATCATGATAATGATAATGTTATATGATGATAAAAACGATAATGTTACTGCTGATGATGATAATGATCATGATCATGGTGATGTTGATGATCATCATCTTCAGACCATGATGATGATGATGGTGACATTGATGATGATGATGATGATGATGATATTGATGATGATGATGACGATGATGAGTATGAGCATGATCCTGACATCTGATTGAAAAAAATGAGGAAATATTTAGATAGCAAATAGTCTCAGCTACAACATACTAAAATTTGGGAGAAAACTGTTGAATAAGAATCGAGATACTGGTCAAAACACATTGTCATGCAGATTCATGTTAAGAAAAAAGTGACCTCCCGTAGACATAACACGCAAATATGACAAATTATGCATTGTCGCATTTAATCAAATATTTAACTATGATGACGTCATCTAAATGAAAAATAAATGGCATATTTCTGATAGAGAATTATCTCAGCTACAACATATCAAAATCTGGGAGAAGATCGATCACCGATAAGTGAGATAATCTCAAATAAACAATGACAAAAATGACGTCATCAACAAAATACATTTGTTTGAGTTTAGATGCCAATATGATGACTTTGTTTCACTTTGTACGAGTCAGGGTGGTATGAAATCATATCTCCAACTAATGCTTTCTCCAACCATGATAAAAAAAATTGGGGGCCAATGGACTATCTGAAGAGCTATTTCGATTTTTAAAATGGCATGTTTTTGATCAAATTTGCATTATATTGCCCATAGCAGTACGCGCGGATTTTGAACTTTGACGCACGCTCACGGCCTTATGAAATATGAAGAGTGACTAAAATTAATGTAAATTGTCAATTACGTTAAGAGGAATCCAAATCATGTAAACATTTTGAATTTGACCTTTTCCGCGCGCTGTGAGCGCGCACAACGCGCGCGGGGACACGTACGGACGGAAAATTTTGAAATGCTTAAAATGACCTGATTCGTACTCTCCCTTAGTAGTTAAGTGATTTTGAGCTTTTTAAAATTTTGACGCACACGTACGCGCGCGTCATGACCTTTATGTGACCTTTGATGACATGACCTGTTGACCCTTGCCCTAAAGTATATGTGATATGAATATGAATGACCTTTGATTATGCATCATGAAGATATGATGGATAACGTGATTTCACAAAATGGCGCCTGGGTGACGTCACGATAACCTAATGACCTTGAAAAGGTTACTGTCACGTCTTATGGCAATGACCTATGACTGTGCAAAAATTGAATGAAATTGACGGAACCGAACTTGAGTTATCTATGGCACAAAAAAGTGTAGGAAATAAAAATAAATAATAATAATAATAACTAGAAATTTAATTCGTCACGAGGACGAATAAGGTGGTCTGTCTTCATGTCTGATGGTAGATAATACTATTTACTATATTGAAAAAAGGTAGAAGTTATATAGACATGTAAACAATGATGATGATGATGATGATCTTGATAGTAATGGTGATGACGATGATGACGATGATAATGATAATGTTAATGATATTGATGATCATGAGCATGATCCTGACATCTTATCGAAAAAATGAGGGGTGAATTATATAACATATAGTCTCAGCTACAAAATACAAAAATTTGGAAGGAAACTGTTGAATAACAACCGAGATACTGGTCAAAACATATTGTCATGCAGATTCATATTTTGAAAAAAGTGACCTATAGACATAACACGCAAATATGACAAATTATGCATTGTCGCCATTAATCGAATATTTCAATATAATGAAGTCATCTAAATGAAAATAAATGGCATAATTTTGATAGAGAATTATCTCAGCTACAACATATCAAAATCTGAAAGAAAATCGATCACAGATAAGTGAGATAATCTCAAATAAACAAAGACAAAAATGACGTCATCAACAAAATACATTTGTTTGAGTTTAGATGCCAATATGATGACTTTGTTTCACTTTGAACGAGTCAGGGTGGTATGAAATCATATCTCCAACTCATGTTTTCTCCAACCATGATATAAAAATTGGGGGTCGACGGACTATCTGAAGAGCTATTTCGATTTTTAAAATGGCATGTTTTTGCCCATATATGCTATGTATTACAATAGCTCGCACGCACGGACATTATCTTAAACGGACGCTCATTCCGTTATTAATGGGCAGAAACGGGTGAACAATGTATCAAAATGCTTGGCAAAATGATTCAAATATGATGACGGAGAAAATTTGGCGATTTTATGTTGCTAAATGCCAGGACACGCGAAAACGCGCGCCCATGCGCGTGTGCGCGTTTTTTTGCAAAATGCTTAAAATGGCCTGAAACGTATGCAAAATTAATTTGAGACGATTTGAATCATTTTTATTTTTTGCGTGCGCGCTAACGCGCGGACGTACGCATGCGCGCGCGTTTTCTGACCTGAAACTGACCGGACGGATATTGACCCTAATCATGATAAATATAAATGAGAAATGCCTTTCCGTTATGAAGATATGATCATGAGTAAAAAGTACCCCAAAAAACACAAAATGGCGCCTGGATGACGTCATGAAGACTTGATGACCTTGAAAATGTCCCTGTCACGTCTTATGACAATGACCTATGACTGTGCCAAAATTGAACGAAATTGACATAATTGATCTTGAGTTATCGTCGGAACAAAAAAGTGGGAACAATAAATAACTAGACTTTAATTCGTCACTTAGACGAATTAGGTGATACGTATGATAGTGGTTTACATAGCGAATAATGCATTACACGATATATTATTTTGTAAAATGCTTCTCCCATTTATATGCTTCTCCCATTATGATCTATTCATATGTCAAGATTAAATTGTGTCTCCTTGATCATCATGGATCTAGGGAAGATAGATTGAAACAATATATGACCTTTGACCCTGTGCAGTAACCAGTTACACATTTGACTCTAATTTACATCATGAAGAACACCTTTTGACGATTTTTATCTTATTCAAAGAAATGAAAATGTAATTGATAAATGATTATCATCATTATGATAATGATGATCATGATGATCATGATCATGATCATAAGCGCGATCATGACATCTTATTGAAAAAAGAGGGTTGATTTAGATAGCATATAGTCTCAGCTACAACATACTCAAAAATCAACAAAATCCAAGCCGAAATAACGACGATATTGCTCGCAAAAGACAGGAATGTAGAATCCAGATTTGAAAAAAAAAGTCATCTCCCATAGGGATTAGACGCAAAAAGTAATGGATTAAGTGAAAATAGGGTAATAATAAAGTAAAAAGGGTTATTTATGACATTATTTGCGAATCTACGTGTTTGAATAATCAAAGGAGATGGTACAGTGAAGGTCAAAAGGAAAAAACAAGTGAAAAAAAAAGTGTTGGAGACACCCGGAATCGAACCAGGGATCTCGAGGTTGGAAGTCAAGTGCGTTACCGATATACCAAAACATCTCCCATAGCGATTACACGTAAACGGGAAATGGAATTCAGAAATCCTACTTTGCAAGTGAAATATGAGCATAATCCCGGCATCTGATCGAAATATAAAAGGCACACGTGTGATAGCTTATTGTCTCAGCTACAACATATTCGAAGCTCAGCGAAAACAAAGCTAAAATATGGGAGATTTCGCTCGCAAAAGACAGGAGTGTAGAATCCAGTTTTGAGAAAAAGTCATGTCCCATAGAGAATACACGCAAAATGTGAAAAATTGACATGCCTCCTTTAATCGCAAAAGTACGCCTTGATGCTTTAGTCAAAATGAAAAATTGTGGCAACTATACTTGTAGCAAATTGTCTCAGCTAGAACATATCAAAATTTAAAAGAAAATTGATCAATATTTACAGAGATACAATTAATTTTCCAAAAATATGCTGACGTCATAATATGCAAATTGAAATTTTGAGTTTGGAGGCCATTATGATGACATCATGAGTTAATTGAGGGTCAAATGAGACATGAAATCATATCTACAACTCATAATCTATCTAAATATGAAAACATATTGGGAGTTCCCATCCATTCTGAACAGTTACAATGAATTTTGTATAGGCATGTTTTTGCCAATGTATGGTGGATAAAGATAACGCAGATCTGCGCGTGCTGTCAACTTTGACGGACGCTCATTGCGTTATTAAAAGGTGAACAAGTTATCAAAATGCTTGGAAAAATGTACCAAATATAATGACAGAAAAAATTCGGCGATTCTATATTGCAAAATGCCAGTACGCGCGAAAATGTGCGCGCATGCGCGTGTGCGTAATTTTTTTTATCAAATGCTCCATATGGCCTGAAACGGATGTAAAAAAAAATTGGGATGATTTGGAGCATTTTAATTTTTTTCGCGCGCGTAAACGCGCGGACATAAGCGTACGCGCATTTTTGCGCGCATTTATTGACTTGAAATTGACCGGACGGATATTGAGTTTAATCATGATAAATATGAATGAAAAATGGCTTTCCTTTATGAAGATATGATCATAAGTTGATTTTCACAAAATGGCGCCTGGATGACGTCACGATGACCTTGACTGTCTGAAAAGTCACACA